ACTTTAAGGGCATTTAAATGGTCATTGGATAAACATATGGATGATAATGGAATAGTTTAGGTTAGATGGGCTTCAGATTGGTTTCACAGGTCGGCGCAACATCGAGGGCCGAAGGGCCTGTACTGCGCTGTAATGTTCTATGTTCTATGTTCTATGTTCTAAAAAACAAACAGATTCTAAACAAGGCCTCACAAAGAAGGGTCCCGACCCATAACATCAGCTTGCCTGCTCCTCCTGTGTTCATCCAGCTCCACACTGTGTTATCTCACACCTAACATGCATTGTCTGACCTAAAATGTCACCTCTTCTTTACATTGATAAAACCTTTAGTTCTCCCAGGGCAGTGACTTGAAAGGAATTCAAGGATTTACATGTAGATATTAAGCAATTAAAACTTTCTAACTGATTAAAGATTTAACAGCATTTTAGATTTGTTTAGTACATCTTATCAGTTGTGTGACCCTTTGATCTTTTACTTATAAATTCTGTGTTTGATACTACCTCTCTCACTAACACCTGAAGAAGGGGTTATGCTCTGGAAGCTTATGTTTCAAAATAAACCTGTTGGACTATAACCTGGAATCGTGTGATTTCTGAGGGCGAGAGAGACAGAGAGAAAGAGAGAAAGAGAGAGAGTTGTAGGTCATTGGGGAGGGGGAGTAGGAGAAGAAAGAGGGAGAGAGACAGACAGATAGCCAGGGAGATAAAGATGAAATTTGAGTGAGATAGAAAGTGAGAGAGTGAATGAAAAATGAGAAAGACAGAAAGAGTGGGTGAGAGAGACAAAGCAAGAGAGAGAGTGGGGGAAATACCAGTCAGACTGGTGAAGGAGACATTCTGCTGTGACTCGACCCGTTATCTCAAAATGGAGCTCACGTACAACCTACACATCCATTTCCAAATCTTTTTCAACAGAGGCAGGGAGCGAGGGACAGACAAATAGAGACATACAGAGACACGCAGAGAGACAGAGAGAAGGAGAGAGAGGCAGAGGAACAGACAGATAGAGAGAGAAAAAGAGACAGGCAGAGAAACAGAGAGACAGAGATAGAGTCACACACAGACAGATGGAGAGGGAGAGAGAAAGAAAGAGAGACAGAGGAACAGATGGAGAGATGGGGGGAATAGAGAGATGTAGAGAGGAACAGAGAGGGAGAGGCAGAGAGAAAGGAAAGACATGGAGAGAGAGAGTTAGAGAGGGAGAGACAGAGGAACAGAGAGAGAGGAACCGAAACAGGGAACAGAGAGAGAGAGATAGAGAGGAAGAGACAGAGGAACAGAGAGAGAGAGAGAGAGAGAGCGAGATAGAGAGGGAGAGACAGAGGAACAGAGAAAGAGACAGAGACACAGAAAGAGATAGAGAGGGAGAGGGAGAGAGAGAGAGACACACAGAGAGAGAGACACACAGAGAGGGAGAGACAGAGGAACAGAGGGAGAAAGAGAGAGAGATAGAGACACAGAGAGAGAGAGATAGAGACACAGAGAGAGAGAGGGAGATACAGAGGAACAGAGAGAGACAGAGACACAGAGAGAGATAGAGAGAGAGACACACAGAGAGAGAGATAGAGAGGGAGAAACAGAGGAACAGAGGGAGAGAGAGAGAGACAGAGAGACAGACAGAGGAACAGAAACAGTGAACAGAGAGAGAGGCGAAGGAACAGAGACAGACGGAGAAATGGTGGTAGGGGTGTGGTGGTGATGGGAGCAGAGAAACAGAGAGAGCCAAGGCTGAATTCAGAAAAGTGTTTTGGATGTGAGGTGAAGCAGAGAGAGTTTGCTGATTAGATCTAGATGTGAGCATGATATTCTTGGGCAGGTTATTTTTTCAGGCAGGAAGCTGTTCCCCGGCCTGCAGTGAGTCAGCACAATGTCAGAATCCAGGCTGAAACTCAGGAAGTGAATGTACGTGCAAACTGACACTGCCTGTATCTCCCGGCTCGGGGAGAGAGCTCTGCAGAAAGCACAGCACCCCTTGGGCCAGAACCTCGGGGAAGACCTGACTCCCAGTTCCCAAAATCTGGCCCCTCAGAAAGCCTTACCGCCAAGGCAGGGGGCTCCTGCACCCGGGCAAGGGTACTCCTTAATGTCGGAAACACAACAGCCAAAGAACATACAGCATGCTCACACATACAGCAACGTGAAAATGACCCCGATCATCTGTTTTCTGGTGTTGGTTGTATGATAGAGACACCCCCAAAACCATGGGGAAAACTTCCCTGTTTGCTGCATTGGCTGTAGTGTTGGTGGAGTGGGGTCTCCTGGCTGCTGTAGGCCCAGAGTGAGGAGTTGTGGTTGAGGTAGGCCTGGAGTGGGGTATCCTGGCTGAGGTAGGCCCAGAGTGAGGAGTTGTGGCTGAAGTAGTTCTGGAGTGCGGGCTCCTGGCTGCTGTAGGCCCAGAGTGAGGAGTTGTGTCTGAGGTAGGCCTGAAGTGGGGGCCCCTGGCTGAGGTAGGCCTGGAGTGAGGTGTCCTGGCCAAGGTAGACCTGGAGTGGGGACTCCTGGCTGAGGTAGGCCCGGAATGAAGTGTCCTGGCTGAGGTAGGCCCGGAGTGAAGTGTCGTGGCTGAGGTAGGCCCGGAGTGAGGTGTCTTGGCTGAGGTAGGCCCGGAGTGAGTAGTCATGGATGAGGTAGGCCGGAGTGAAGTGTCGTGGCTGAGGTAGGCCCGGAGTGAGGAGTCATGGATGAGGTAGGCCTGGAGTGGGGGATCCTGGCCACTGTAGGCCCAGAGTGAGGAGTTGTGGCTGAGGTATGCTTGGAGCAGGGAGACCTAACTGTGGTGGGCCCGGAGCAGGGACCTTACAGAGGTTGTGGAGCCATGTTTGGGACCCAGGCCAATGTAGATGAACTGTACATGAGTAGTTTCTTTTTATTCTTTTGTACCGTAAAATGGAGCTGAATTGTGACGACATGACACTTTTCTCTGTATCTCTCTAAATAAATAAATTGGACCTTACATTTATTCATTCATTCACACTCTTCACTGTTCAAATAGTGGCCATGGTTTGTTTACTCCCCCACCCCCTAGGGCAGAATGTCAGCCTCTGGTTAATGTTTTCACTGCAAGACTACATCTGGCTTGGGTCCATGATAACTCTGAGGTTTTGGGTTATCCCTGGATTTGGGTGTTTCCATTGGCATGCACAATTGGCTTAACAGTAGAAGACAGAGGGTGGGGGTGGAAGTTTGCTTTTCAGATTGGAAGCCTGTGACCAATGGTGCATCACGAGAATCAGTGCTGGGTCCACTGATTTTTTTGTCATTTATATAAATGATTTGGGTGTGAACATGGGAGGTATGGTTCATAATTTTGCAGATAATACCAACATTGGAGGTGTAGTGGACATTGAAGAAGGTTACCTCAGAGTACAACGGGATCTTGGTCAGATGGGCCAATGGGCTAAGGAGAGGCAGATAGAGTTTAATTTAGATAAATGTGAGGTGCTGCATTTTGGAAAGTCACATCAGGCAGAACTTATACACTTAATGGTAAGGACCTGGGGAGTGTTGCTGAACAAAGAGACCTTGGGGGGCAGGTTCATAGTTCCTTGAAAGTGGAGTCGCAGGTAGACAGGGCGGTGAAGAAGGTGTTTGGTACGCTTGCCTTTATTGGTCAGTGCATTGAGTATAGGAGTTGGGAGGGTCATGTTGGGGCTGTACAGGACATTGGTTAGGGCCACTTTTGGAAAATTGTGTTTAATCCTGGTCTCCCTGCTATAGGAAGGATGTTGTGAACATTGGAAGGGTTCAGAAAAGATTTACAAGGATGTTGCCAGGGTTGGGGGTTTTGAACTATAGGGAGAGGCTGAATAGCCTGGGGCTATTTTCCCTGGAGCATCAGAGGCTGAGGTGTGACCTTATAGAGGTTTATAAAATCATGAGGGGCATAGATAGGGTGAATAGACAAGGTCTTTATCCCCAGGGTAGGGGGTTTTCAAAACTAGAGGGGCATAGGTTTAAGGTGAGAGGGGAAAGATTTAAAAGGGACCTGAGGGGTAACTTTTTCACACAGAGGGTGGTGCGTGTATGGAATGAGCTGCCAGAGGAAGTGGTGGGGGCTGGTACAATTACAACATTTAAAAGGCATCTGGATGGGGACATGAATAGGAAGGGTTTAGAGGGATATGGGCCAAATGCTGGCAAATGGGATGAGATTTATTTAGGATATCTGGTCAGCATAGATGAGTTGGGCTGAGGGTCTGTTTCCAAGCTGTATGACTCTATGACTCTATCCCTCGGTTAGGGAGTTACCTCTGGTTTTGGAGGTATATCTGTGTTTGGGGGGTATATCTGTGTTTGGGGAGTATATCTGGGTTTGGGGATTATCTCCGGGTTGGAGCGATACCTGGATTTGGGGCTATGTCAGGGTTTGGGGAGTATACCTGTGTTTGGGTCTATATCCCTGTTTGGGAGTCATTGCTGGGTTTTGGCTACACCTGGGTCTGGGGTGCATATCTGGGTTTAGGGGGTATATCTCTGGGACTGGGGTTGTACCTAGGTCTGGGGCATATCTCTGGCTCTGGTTCTGGGAGGCTGTATCTGCGGATTTTTGGTCACGGACTACAAATCCCAGGGTGCAGCGGGCGGCGCACGCGCGTTGGTCAAGCCGCTGTTTTTTGGGGGAACGCGGTGACGTCAGTGGGAGGGATGGTTTATAAAGGGGGTGCGCAGGAAGTGGGTGAGCAGAGCGTGGTTGGAGCTGGAGGTAGTAGTACCAGGGTGGGTGTTTTTGCTGTTAGTGGGGAGTGGGGAAGGATGGGAATCAGTCGGTCAGAGGGAGAGAGCATGGTGGGTGCAGTCATAGGGAGGAAGTCACTCAGGAGGGGTGTGGGCTGCAGGGGAGGGGGTACTCAGAGGGGCGGGAGGGGGTGTAGACTGCATGGGGGAATGTATAGAAGATGCTGAGGCAGGGGCTGGGAGAGGGATTGAGGAGGGAAGGTGATGTGGGAGTTGTGGGATGGGGGGGAAAATGTGGTAGTAGTGTTGGTTGGGGTTGGGGTCTGCTCTCTGTGGTGCCTGCATTCACTGTGTGTGTGTGTGTGTGATGGCTCTCTGGTCTCTGGGATGGAGTGCAGCAGTGATGCTCACAGCCTGATGATTATTGTCTGCTGAGGATCTGGGTCAAGCTGTAATCTGAATCCCCATAGCCCAGAGAGACAGCGAGCCCAGTGCTGGCTGTCCTTGTGAAGGTTACTCACTGCGCAGTCTGCCCAGCTCATCTGTCACTGCATCCATTCTCCCAGTGAGTCAGTGCATGGATCAGCAACAAAATGCTGCTCAATCATTCCCCTTGCTTAGCTGAGGGTAGGGGGTGGGGAGGTGGTTACTTCTGAAATCTCTGTTGCCAAGGTTATTTCCAAGATATATGCACTCAGGATTGGGGGAGGGGATGAAGATGCTGTCTCCTGTAGATCTTTATTCACTCATCAGATGTGGGTGTTGCTGGCTGGGCCCAGCAGTTATTGCCCTCTTGAGAAAGTGGTGATGAGCTGCCTCTTGAACTGTTGCAGTCTGTGTGCTGTAGGTAGACCCTTAGGGAGGGAGTTCCAGGATTCTGCCCCAGCAACGCTGAAGGAATGGTGATATATTTGAGTCAGGATGGGGAGGGGCTCGGAGGGGAACTTGCAGGGGGTGGTGTTCCCACGTATCTGCTGCCCCTTGTCCTTCCAGATGGACGTGGCTGTGTCTTTGGAAGGTGCTGCCTGAGGAGCCTTGGAGAGTTTCTGCAGCGCATCTTGTAGATGGTGCACACTGCTGCGACTGAGCGTCGGTGGGGGAGGGAGTGGGATGTTTGTGGATGTGGGGCCAATGGAGCGGGGGCTGCTTTGTCCTGGATGGTGTTAAGCTTCTCAAACTGCCCCTATCCAGGGCAAGTGGGGAGTATTCCATCCCACTCCTGACTTGTGCCCTTGTCGATGGTGGGACAGGCTTTGGGGCAAGGGTCAGGAGGTGAGTTAATCACTGTAGGATTTCTGGCTGTCTGTGTTTCCCACAGACTGTTCTCCCAGTCTAAAGGATACACTGTATTCCTGGTTAGATACAGAAGTTAGACATTGTATCCAGAGGCTGGTATCACTGTCAACAATATTTCAGTTCCCCTGCAGACCCCTTTGGCAGCTCGGGCTGAGTTCAGGGGAGGTGGCTGATGTCTCTGTCCTGGGGTGAGGGGTTTGGAGGGGGGGCAATGGGGCAGGATCAGAATGGGTTGGGGTGAGAGGCAGAATAGTGCCCAGTTGTCAAGCTGGCTGTGAGCCAGCATCTGCCTGTGTTTGTTTTCTCGTTTTTCTCTCTCTCTTCCCCCAACCTTCCCTCCTGTCCTTCCTCTCCCTCCGTCTCTGTTCTCCCTCTGTCCCTATATCTGTCACTTCCTCCAGTGCTGGCCTGTTAGGTATTCCCGAATCCCATCACTCTGTTGTGGCATAGAGCTCAGGAATTCCCTCTCAAATCCCCCAACCCCTTTGACCCCAGTGCCTTTGGGGGGGGTAAATCGTTGCCTAATTTAGGCGCTATGTGGATGCGGCTGTTTTATATGAAATGATTGTGTCTAGAGGGGCAGGGAGGGGTGCAGCAGGGATCTGGGGCATCGGGGATGTGATGTGAACACATCCTGCAGCTGCTGAAATCTCTTGGTAATCCCTCAAAATAAATCTGTGTTCCAGAATTTTCCGGCCGACTTAACAAGGGGACCATGGGAGATCTGGCAGTTGGAATTAATGGGTGAGTGACTGAAATGGAACAGGCTACGTTAAGAAGCTCAGCATGGCTCAGGAGAAGTCCATTTGGCCCAGCGGTACCTGTGCCAGTCCTTTGAAAGATCTCTCCATTTGGCCCCTGCTCTCTCTATTCCATTCACCTCACCCCACCCCCCTCACTGCTACCCTTTACATATTGCCCCCTGCCCCTGCCCAACCTCCCCATTGACACAATTCATCAAATGATGGAGGTGAATGTGACACTCCCTGCGGTAGTGAATCCCACGTTTGCCCCTTCTGCTGCCCCTTATGGGGCTATGTGGGTCATACAGGGGTCTGGGGTGGGGGGGCGCGGTGGTGGGGGTGGTGAAAGGTTGGGTGTTTTGCTGACGTCTCCCTCCCCCCTCCGTCTTACAGCTTCGGCCGGATTGGACGGTTAGTCCTACGTGCCTGCCTGGACAAGGGCATTCGAGTGGTGGCCATCAATGACCCCTTCATCGATCTCCACTACATGGTAAGGGGAAACTGGGTTGGGGGGTGGGGGAGTTGTGCAGGAGGGGAGGGGGTCAAAGGGTGCTGGTGGGATGGAATGGGGTCAGAGGAGTGGGCAGGGCAGGGGAGAGTGCCTGAGGGGTGGAGGAATTCAGGAGAGTGTGTGGGGGATGTTGACAGGGGGAGGAGGGTGGGATTGGGGGAGGGTGTGGAGGGAGGGTGGTGGGATTGGTTTGGGAGTGGGGCCAGTGGTGGAGAGAGGTGACGGACCAAGCATAGTGACGCCCAACCCCCACTCTTCTATTTGGATCAGGCCGCAGATGATCTGTTGGTGACACTCGCTGGAACTTTGAGCCTCAGTTGGTTTCCCTTCTGTCTGTCAGCCCCTCCCCTTCCCTCGGGAGGAGACGGTGTCTGACCCGATGCTATTGTTGGGTGGCTCTGTGGATCAAGGTGGGATTGGGCTCCCTCTGTGCTTTGTGTCTGGTTGATGAAATCCCTGAGGAATGTGCCATCAAATCCTGATTATTTTGGCTACAGTCATCCTCAACTCAGTCCTAAACCTGCTCTTCCCCCAACTTATTTTGAGGCTATCCCACCTCGTTCTAGTTTCACCTGCCAGCGGAAACAGCCTCCCTGCTTCTATCTTATCTATTCCCTTCATAATTTTGTTTCTATAAGAATCCTGCCCCCCTCATTCTTCTAGATTCCAGTGAGTACAGTCCCAGGCTACTCCATGTCTCCTCATAAGCCAACCCTCTCCACTCTGGATTCAACCTACTGTCATAGTCAAGCAGCACCGAAACAGACCCTTCGGTCCAACTCATCCATGCCGACCAGATATCCTAAATTAATCTAGTCTCATTTGCCAGCATTTGGCCCATGTCCCTCTTAAACCCTTCCTATCCATGTCCCCATCCAGATGCCTTTTAAATGTTGTAATTGTACCAGCCTTCACCACTTCCTCTGGCAGCTCATTCCTGACACCACCCTCTGCGTGAAAAAGTTAACCCTCCGGTTCCTTTTAAATCTTTCCCCTCACCTTAAACCTATGCCTCTCTAGTTTTGGACCCCCTACCCTGGAGAAGAGACCTTGTCTATTCACCCTATCTATGTCCCTCATGATTTTATAAACCCCTGTAAGGTCACCCCTCAGCCTCTGACACTCCAGGGAAAACAGTCCCAGCCTGTTTGGCCTCTCCCTGTAGCTCGAACCCTCCAACCCTGGCAACTTCCTTGTAAATCTCTTCTGAACCCTTTCAAGTTTCACAACATCCTTCCTATAGCAGGGAGACTAGAAGTGAACACAGTATTCCAAAAGTGGCCCTAACCAATGCCCTGTACAGCCGCAACATGACCCTCCCAACTCCTATACTCAATGCACTGACCAATAAAGGCAAACGTACCAAACACCACCTTCACCGCCCTGTCTACCTGCGACTCCACTTTCAAGGAACTATGTACCTGTCCCCCAAGGTCTCTTTGTTCAGCAACACTCCCCAGGACCTTACCATTAAGTGTATGTCCTGCTCTGATTTGCCTTTCCAAAATGCAGCACCTCATATTTATCTAAATTAAACTTCAACTGCTGCTCCTCGGCCCATTGGCCCATGTGACTGAGGTCCCATTGTACTGAGGTAACCTCCTTTGCTGCCCACTACAACTTCCAATTTTACTGTCATCTGCAAACTCACTAACCATAGTGAGCCTTCTCTGTACCCCCTCCAGTGCCAGGACATCCCTTCTCAAGTAAGGAGACAAAACTGCACGCAGTACTCCCAAGTGCGGCCTCACCGGCACCCTATACAGCTGTAACACAACCTCCCTGCTTTTAAATGCTGGCAATGAAGGACAAGATTCAATTTGTCATCTTAATAACCTGCAAACCAACTTTTTGTGATTAATTTACAAGGACACCCAGGTCCCTCTGCACAGCAGCATGCAGCAATACTTCACTGTTTAAATAACAGTCCGTTTTGTTGTAATTCTGACCAAAATGGATGACTTCACATTTACCAACATCTGCCAGACACTCGCTTAACCTACTGTGTGATGGGTTGAGACCAATTTGTTGATGCCATTTCGTGGTTACACAAGGGAACCCCACAAATACAGACAATGACCATCTCTGGCAAGAAAATGTAACCGTTCCATGGTGTTGCCATGACTGAATTCCCCAGTACCCACATCCTGAGGGTTATCATTGACCAGGAACTCAACTGGACCCACCACACAAACACAGCAGCTACAAGAGCAGGGCAGAGGTTGGGAATCCTGCAGCGAGTAACTCCCCTCCTGACTCCTCCCAAAGCCTGTCCCACCATCGACAAGGCACAAGTCAGGAGGGTGAGGGAATACTCCCCACTTGCCCTGGATGGGGGCAGCAGTTTGAGGCGCTTGACACCATCCAGGACAAAGCAGCCCCCACTCATTTGGCCCACATCCACAAACATCCCACTCCCTTCCCCCACCGACACTCAGTCGCAGCAGTGTGCACCATCTACAAGATGCCCTGCAGAAACTCACCAAGGCCCCTCAGGCAGCACCTTCCAAACCCACGGCCACTTCCATCTGGAAGGACAAGGGGCAGCAGATACATGGGAACACCACCCCCTGCAAGTTCCCCTACAAGCCCCTCAACATCCTGACTTGAGAAATATATCAGCTGTTCCTTCAGTGTTGCTGGGTCAGAATCCTGGAATTCCCTCCCTAAGGGACTCTGAGTCTACCCTACAGCACTGCAGTGGTTCGAGAAGGCAGCTCACTCACCCCCTCAAACCATCTCAACGGGGCAACTAGGGGATGGGGTCATAAATGCTGGTGCAGCTAGTGATAGCCACATCTTGAGGACTGAGTGGTGGGGAACATTTGTATAGAGTGAGTGAGTGATCGGATTGTCAGGAGCCCCCAGGCTTTTTCCCTCATAGTGACGTGAGACCACTTTCTCCCTTTCAGGCTTACATGTTCAAGTATGATTCCACCCATGGCCGTTACCATGGAGAAGTTCAAGCTGAGGATGGAAAGCTCGTGGTGGATGGGAACCCCATTGCAGTCTTCCAGCAGTGAGTAATCAGGGCAGGACCCTCTGCCAGTACAGCGCTCCCTTGGCACTGACTCTCTCTCCTCCTAACCTCATCAACCTATCCTCAACGTGGAGGCTTCTCATCCCTGGCCTCCTGCGTGCATTCCCATCTTCCCTAGAATGTGGGGCTGCCAACTAGACGCAATAATGTGGAAACAGGCCATTTGGTCTATTGAATCTTTACTGACCCTCTGAAGAGCACCCTGTCTCTGTAACCCTGCGTTTCCCATGGCCAATCCACCTAACCTGTACATCCCTGGGCACTATGGGACAATTTTCGATGGATAACCCACCCTAACCTGCACATGTTTGGACTGGGGGAGGAAACCCACACAGACACGGGGAGAGAAAACATGCAAACAGACAGTTGCCCGAGGGGGAGGGGGAATTGAACCTGGGTCCCTGGCACTGAGGCAGCAGTGCTAGCCACTGGGTCACCCCCTCTTCCCTCAATAACCTCCGAGGTGTCCCAGCCCAGTTGTGCTCTCAATCGATTTCCCCAAACGTTATTACTTTTGAAAACAGAAGCTGCTGGAAAAGCTCAGCAGGTCTGCCAGTGTCTGTGGTGACAAATCAGTTTCGGGTCATGTAATCCTTCCTCTGGACTCCTGAGGAAGGGGTCACTGGATCCAAAACGTTAACCGAGTTCTCTCCTCCGGTGCTGCCAGACCTGCTGAGCTTTTCCAGCAGTTTCTGATCGACAGCATCTGCAGTTTTTTCGGTTTTTAGCTGTAATTTTTTGGTTTTTTCTTTATTTGTAGTGGTTTTTGTTCCTGCAGCACTGATCTTGACAGATGTCCTTCTGATTGTTGAGCACTTGGGTCTATCCCTGTAGAAATCCCCTCCTTGCCAGTTTGATTAGCCGTTAACCACACTCCCTGCTGTTGCCCTTCAATTTGCCTGGATCAGGTTAATGGTTTTCCTGAAGCTAGCTGTCTGCCGGTGCCTGTTTGGGCTGGGGTGGGTACGGAATTCCCTGGGAATCAGATCCGTACGTTGCTAATCCCGGGACCTTTGTCCTCCCACAGCATGAAGCCAGCAGAGATTCCCTGGGGTGAATCGGGAGCTCTCTACGTCGTGGAATCAACTGGAGTCTTCCTGAGCGTGGACAAAGCCTCGGTGAGTGGGGGGACTGACGCCAGCCGCCCCGGGGGAACAGGAGGGATGGGGGAATGGCCTCCCACTGAGATGGAGGCCGTTTGCCCCCCCCCGCCAATGCCTCGAGCCTCACAACGCGGGAGGCGGGGAGCCGTTCAGCCCCTCTGGGAGCCTGTCTTGGGGTTGAGGTGGGCGGGGGGGGGGGGGGGGTGGGTGTGGTGGTGGTGCATTCTGCCCCTCCAGGAGCCTGCTGCCCGCAAGGGCGAGGCCATTCGCTCCCTCTGGGAGCCTGCCGCACCCCACAAGTCTGTCTGGCCAGCATTCAGCCTGTTTGGGGGGAGGGGGCAGCCGTACGTTGTTGTAATTGTTACCATGTTTGTCTCCCAGGCCCACCTGCAGGGGGGTGCCAAGCGTGTGGTGGTGTCTGCCCCATCGCCCGATGCCCCCATGTTTGTGATGGGTGTCAACGAGGACAAGTATGACCCTTCCAGCATGTGTATTGTCAGGTCAGTGCCTGCTGTGGGGGGGGGGGGGGGGGGGGGGGGCAGGGTGGGGGGGGGGGGGGTGGCAGTGTGTGTGGGTGGTTCAGGCACAGTGACGAGACAGTAGATTGGCCCCACAATGTGTGGGTAGGAACTTAGTGCTTGGGACCCAGTTGAAATGTAGTCACTCATCAGACGTGAGGCTCACTGACTGGGCCCAGCATTTATTGCACCGTCCGTAGTTGCCCCTTGAAGGTGGGGGTGAGCTGCCACCTTTACCCACTGCAGCCCATGTGCTGTAGGTTTGACCCACAACCTCCCTTAGGGAGGGAATTCCAGGATTCTGACCCAGCGACACTGAAGGCACGGGGATATATTTCCCAAGTCAGGATGGGGAGGGGCTCGGAGGGGAACTTGCAGGGGGTGGTGTTCCCATGTACCTGCTGCCCCTTGTCCTTCCAGATGGAAGTGGCCGTGGGTTTGGAAGGTGCTGCCTGAGGGGCCTTGGTGAGTCTCTGCAGTGCATCTTGTAGATGGTACACGCTGCTGTGACTGAATGTCGGTGGGGGAGGGAGTGGGATGTTTGTGGATGTGGTGCCAATCGAGCAGGGGCTGCTTTGTCCTGGATGGTGTCGAGCTTCTCGAGTGTTGTTGGAGCTGCCCCCATCCAGGGGAAGTGGGGAGTATTTTGTGCTTTGTGCCTTGGGAGAGAATTCCTCAGAGCTATGACATGGCCAGGGAGCAGCTCCTGGGCACAGCCATCAGTAGTTTCTGTAATCAGGGAGATGTGAGGGGGCATTGGCCTCTGAATGTATGGCGGTGAGATGGAGAAGGTGATCTGTGTGACTGGTGCTATTTACCAACCACTTCCCAGAATTGCACGCGAACAGGAAAGTCTTGCATAAGAAGAATGGTTTGTGTATTGCAACATTAATGTGGTTCTCTCTGTCCCTTTTTTTTTCTCCTTTTTTGTATTTTTTTTCTTTCCCTCTCTAGTAATGCCTCCTGCACGACCAACTGCCTCGCTCCCCTTGCAAAGGTCATCGAGGATAACTTTGGGATCGTTGAGGGTTTGATGGTGAGTGAGGGACTGTTTTGAACGTTGCAACAGGGGCTCTGCAAGCTGCGTGACTGTCTATCACCCTGGTGCTTGAGATATTCTGTAAATGCTGGGGGAGCACCAAGATGGCCATGTACTGTGTGGTGTCTAGATTGGCATCATTTCAATTAGTTTGGGTATGTCTCTGGTACCCACTAGCTTGAATCTGGAAAGTTGATGGGAGAAGGATGTCAGTGTAAAGTTTTAAAACAAAGGGCTGGAGAAACTCAGCAGGTCTGGCATCATCCGGGGAGAGAGACAGAGTTAATGTTTCGGTTCCCGTGACCAGAATTGAGGAGTCATGTTTCTCTGGCTCACGCTCCATCCTCCAAACATGGGCTGCCAGAGTTTCTCCAGCAATTTCTGTCTTTGTTCCAGATTTCCAGCTTCTGTAGTTCCCTTTTTTATTGAGGGCTCTGATAGGCTTGACTGGAGGCAGTCTGCCTTCCCTCTGGAAGGAGCCGCATCTCCCTTGCTCACCCGTAAGGAGAGGCTGATCATGGGATTTCGAGACTGGAATTGGTCAGTTTTTTTTTCCCCCTTGACCTTTAGGAGCTGGGGGAGAAACTAGGATAATAACAGTGCGCAGCTGGGATGCGACTGAGTGCAGATCAGAACGAGGAGCCATCAATGTCCCAAACAAATCCAGCGGGGAATTCAGGAGTGCTGTCTCCTCTTGGGCAATGGGGGAGAAACATGGAACTCTCTCCACTCTGAGGGGTGGGGGCTGAAGACATTTCTCCTCATCTCAGTCCTAACTGATCTCCTTCAGACTGTGACCCTATTCTAATCTAGTCCCATTTGGCCCATATCCCTTTAAACCCTTCCTATCCATGTACCCATCCAGATGCCTTTTAAATGTTGTAATTGTACCAGCCCCCACCACTTCCTCTGGCAGCTCATTCCATACACACACCACCCACTGTGTGAAAAAGTTACCCCTCAGGTCCCTTTTAAATCTTTCCCCTCTCACCTTAAACCTATACCCCTCTAGTTTTGGACTCCCCTACCCTGGGGGGAAAGACCTCGTCTATTCACCCTATCCATGCCCCTCATGATTTTATAAACCTCTAAGGTCACCCCTCAGCCTCCGACATTTCAGGGAAAATAGATCCAGCCCCTCCTTCTAACTCAAACCCTGCAGTCGCCCACAACCTCCCTTGTAAATCACTTCTGAGCCCTGTTATGTTTCACAACATCCTTCCTATAGCAGGGAGACCAGAACTGAACACAGTATTCCACTTGTAGCCGCAACATCTCACACACACCCCCACCAACTCCTATACTCAATGCACTGACCAAATATAACCCTCACTGATCCGGTCTCTCCTCATCTGTCTGTCCCGCCCATCCCAGGAATCGGTCTGGGAAACCTTTCTGCCCTCCCGCCATCGCCAGAACCACCTCCCCCTCTGAAACGGAGACTCCAAACTATGCACACGCCATACTCCTGGTGTGATCTCAGCAAGGCCCCTGCATCGGGGAGGCTCCTGCCTGTGTGATGGTGGGGTTAGGAAGCTGAATGGCCTTTCTGGGCTGGGGGGGTGGGTGGTGTCAGCCACAGGCTCTAACTCACATTGTGTTCGCTCTCTCTGGCAGACCACTGTCCATGCCTACACTGCCACACAGAAGACTGTGGATGGACCATCTGCCAAGGCGTGGCGAGATGGAAGGGGTGCCCACCAGAACATTATCCCAGCATCGACTGGTGCTGCCAAAGCTGTGGGCAAAGTCATCCCTGAACTGAATGGGTAAGTAACCGGACTATCGCCATGGACCGTCTGGGCCAGATACAGAGAACTGTCACTTGTGGTCCTGGTCTTTTATTTAAAATCCAGTGCCTTTGTTACCCCTCAGAACAACTAAGATAGAAACATGGAAACTGTGTACTGTTTTGGTCTTCCTACTTGGCAAAGGGTGTAGTGGGCACTGGGGGGGTGTTCACTGGGTCGATTCTAGAGTTGAGTGTTGGCTGATGAGAGATTGAGTGAGTAGCCTGGGACTGTACTCATTTAGAATGGGGGGAGAAATATTATAGAAACATATCTATTCTGTTCGTAATTTCATAAGGTAGAAGCAGGGAGGTTGTTTCCACTGTGGGTGAAATTTGAACGAGGGGGCATAGCCTCAAATTAGGGCGGGAGCAGGTTTTGGACTGAGCTGAGGAGGAACGTCTTCACCCAAAGGGTTGTGAATCTGTGGAATTCCCTGCCCAGTAACGCAGCTGGGGATTCCTCATTTAATGATTTTAAGGCAAAGGTAGATTATTGAACAGTAAAGGAATTGGGGTTTAGGGTGAATAGGTGGGTAAGTGGAGCTGAGACCATGAAATAAATCAGCCATGATCTTGTAGAAAGGCGGAGCAGGATTGATGGGCCAGGTGGCCTAATCCTCCTAATTCTGATCTTGGAGAAAGGAAGGGTAGGGTGCATTAAATGGGAAGTGAGGAGACTGCTGCAGTGCAGAGGGATCTGGGAGACCCAGTCCACGGATCCCAAAGAGTCAGCACACGGATTGGGATTGGGATGGGGATGGGGATGGAATGTCAGCCTTTATTTTTGTTTGGGAGGAGGGGGGCAATGGCGTATAAAAGTGGGGAAGTCTTGCCCTGACTGTATGGGACAGTGTGGAGAGAGCTCCTGGAGCACTCTGTCCAGCTTCGAACCCCTTAAGGACGGACAGACTGGGTGGGGGTGCAGTTTGGAGAACGTTCCCTTGGTTAGTTCCTGAGGGGGGTGAGGGGCAGCGGTGTCTGTCTGAATGAGGGAAGCTGGAGCCGGTCAGGGCCTGGATCCATCAGAGTTTTGGAGAATGAGAAGGTGCTGTGACTGAAACGGATCAGTTCCTGGGGTGGGGGGGTGGGGAGCGAGGGGGATCTGAGAGGGTGTTACCCCCTCATGGAACAATCTAGAACAGGGTTGGGGTGTAGTTTTAGGAGAAGGCGGGGGTTCCTCCCCCAGTGACAGAGATGGGGAGCGGTCTCTTCTCTCAAGTTGGGGTGATTGGGGAGGTGGGGGTTGCGTGTGTTTTTATTTTCCTCATTCATGAGGGTGTCGCTGGCCAGGCAGCATTTATTTCCCTAATTGCCCCAGGGGGTAGTTCAGAGTGAACCACATTGCTGTGGGTCTGGAGTCACATGTAGGCCAGACCAGGTAAAGATGGCAGCGTTCTTCCCTGAAGGACATTAGTGAACCAGATGGGTTTTTCCTGACAATCTGCAATGGATTCAAGGTCATCGTTAGATTCTTGATTCCAGATATTTTAAAAAAATTGAATTCACATTCCACCACCTGCTGTGGTCAGGATTTGAACTGGGGCTCCCAGGACAGTACTGTGGTCCCTAGATTAACAGCCCAGTGATAATACCATGAGGCCATCACCTCCCCTGAGTCTGGGGTCTGTGGCCAGCGTGATGGATGTTACCTGCCCCAGGATAGGGAGTGGGGCAAACAAGGGGAGTAACATTCAGGCTTGATAAGATGCAGCTTCAGATTCTGACTAACCCTTGATTTTCCCCTGCCTTGTTCCTCCTTTTTTTTTCTTCCCCCTCCCTCTCTCTCTTCCCCTTTTCCCTTTCCCCGCTCTCTTTGCGCCATCCCCCTGCCCCCAACCACCATGTGTGTCTCCCCGTCCGTGCCCTGACAGGAAGTTGACGGGAATGGCGTTCCGGGTCCCAGTGGCAGATGTATCTGTTGTTGATCTGACGTGCCGCCTCGCGAAGGCAGCCTCCTACACTCAGATCAAGGAAGCGGTGAAGAAAGCATCGGAGGGCCCACTGAAAGGGATCCTGGGATATACCGACCAACAGGTACCCGCTCTGTCTCAGGGCCAGCGCTGAGGTGGGGGGGGAGGGGGAGCGTGGTGCTGTCTGACTTGGGGCATTGTCGTGTTGCTGTTTTGCGGGATCCTGCTGTGCGCACAGACAGCTGTGTTTTAGTGTAGAAGCAGCCTCCTCTGGCTGAGTGTTCAGGGTGTGGCAAGTCCGTACCAGGCGCTATGGAAATGCAGGTTATTGAGTGACTGTTGCATTATTTACAGGTTGTGTCCACTGACTTCATCAGCGACACACACTCGTCCATCTTTGATGCTGGTGCTGGGATTTCTTTGAACGATAACTTTGTGAAGCTGATCTCCTGGTGAGTCTGTACAGATCCTGGGGAAATGGGAGAGGGCTGTCTGATTTCACACTCTCCCAGTTACAGGCCTCGTGGCTTTCTGTCCCTTGTGTGACCACCTCCCCCCACCCCCCCACCACTCCCTTTTTGAGTTGTCTGTTGTAATGCACAGTTCCAGTCTCCGTATCCCTCAGTTAGACCCACACTCGGAG